CCCCCCACCTCCCCATTCACGATTTTCAACGATTCGAATCGAATACTTTTCGAATGCATTTCGAATTTCGAGCGAGTTTAGATTAGATTAGGTGGGAAATTCAGTTAGGGAAAGGAAAATTTACGTACGTTCTTGAGATCATCAGGATTTTCATAAGCAAATAAAATTATTATTATTATTATTATTATTATCTTTAATCGTGTGAAATCGGATAGGTTACGTTGTGTCCGTCAAAGATGGGGCTCAAGTTGAAAAGGATATTTTTAAGTTTGATGGAATATAATAATCCTGTCAATTATTCGTTTACGAAGATGAATTAGAGGGGAGGAAAAAATTATTTTTCCAACAAGAATTCTGATTCGTTTAATAATCATATAATCGGATTATATAATTAAAAAAAAAGGGGGGGGAGGGGAAGGGATACGTCCTATTGGAATGACGAAGAGACTCGGACACGATATTCCCTCGACGTGGAGAACCACTGGCTACGCGCCAATCTATTTCACTTATTTCCGCGACACGTTCGGTATTGCAATCACCGTTTCGAGTCGACGAGAGGTCGAGACAATTTACTGCACTGCGGCTAGGCAAAATCTTCTCCTGCAACGAGTGACAATTATCGCATCGCGCGCGCACACGTGTATCCGACCGATCGATACGCGGCTAAAACATTTTCTGCACATCGTGTTCCATTGAAATTTAACATTAAACATTTCCAAACTAATTGTCGCAAGATTATGTATAAAAACATTGGCCGCTTTTAAAAAATATCCGAAGACGGATTCTCGATTAATAATCTTCGAATATAATTGCCGTTGGATAATGGAAAATTGTGAAAATCGTATAAAAAAATAATATTCGTCAGAGGAGAAAATGAATGGGATAATTTCCAATTAATGGATAATCGTTGATAATCATTTCAGGGACGACAAGTTAAATATATGCATCACATTTATAAAATAGTATGTGCGCTATAAATCTAATAGGCAAGAAAAAGGCGAGGGAAGACGATCGACGAGGAACTAGAAACTACTTGAAAAATTGTATCATGGATACACGACCAATCGAATCGAGTTTTCGACTCGTGTCTTTTTATCGAAGGGGTGCGGCGCGACCCTTCTCGAGTCTCGTCAACTTCCTCGAATCTCCCTCACTCACCACGCGCTTTACCTTTCAGAGATTTTATCGTTGCGTTAGTACGTCATTCGTATGCGTTCAGACATTCACGAGTAAACGAGATTACGGTCTGCTTCTCACGACGGAGACCGTGCTAGCCCATCTCGAGCGTAGTTTCTTGAATATTCCCTCTCGTTTTCCCCCTCGAGTAGTCGCGCAGCCACCGCTTTTAATTTAAATTCTCGAGAGATGCGTGCAAACAACCGTGATTGTTCGATAAATTGATACGAGATGGGTAAAGAAGGGGAATGAGAATAACAACAAGTTTCGTTTTTCTTTTTTTTTTTTTTTTCGTTTTCCTCCGTTTAATTTTATTAATTTTATTTCACTACTTTATATTCCAAATGTGTTATTTAACCGCGTGAACCGTTTCAACTAATTTAATTTGGCGTAATTGTGTAATTATAATTTCAATCGTTTTATCGTTATATTGCGCGATAGAATCGTTGTTCGATCGAATAAATAAGAATACCTTTTTTTTCTTTTCTCATTACGCGCAATATTAAATTTTAACATATTTTATATACTCGAAATTTAACATTTTCATTTTTCATATAATTTTTTCAAAATTAGATTCTAAGGTGAATTCGGTAAATTTTGAAAAAGAGAAGGAAGATGAATACGGTTCCCCGTTTCACAATAATAAATTTTAACAGTGATCCATACTTTATATACTCGAAATTTAACATTTTCTTCTTTGATATATAATTTTTCAAAATTAGATCGAAATTAGATTCTAAGGTAATTTGTAAATTCTGGAGAAGAAGAGGAAAATGATTCTTCTTCTCCTTAAAATTAGATCAAAATTATAGATTCTAAGATATTTCGTAAATTCTGGAAAAGAGGAGGAAGATGAATACCTTCTCATTATGCACAATAATAAATTTTAACATTGATCTGTATTTTATATACTCGAAATTTAACATTTTCTTTTCTGATGTATAATTTTCCAAAATTAGATCAAAATTAGATTCTAAGGTAATTTGAAATTCTGGAAAAGAAGAGGAAAATGATTCTTCTTCTCGTTACGTATAATAATAAATTTTAACACTAATCCATACTTTATTTTACTCGAAATTTAACATTTTCTTTTTTGATGTGTAATTTTCTCAAATTAGATCTAAAATTAGATTCTAAAGTGATTCGATAAATTCTGAGAAAGAGGAGGAAGATAATTCCCCTTCTCATTACGCCCGATAATAAATATATTAATAAAAAATAATAATAATAAATTTTAACACAGATCCATACTTTATATACTCGACATTTTAACATTTTCCTTTCTGACATATAATTTTCTCAAAATTAGATTGTAAGGTAATTCGATAAATTCTGAAAAAGAGGAGGAAGATGAATAGGAGGGTTCCCTTCACAATGGAGAACGATGATTAATTTCAGGAGGGGGAAATCCGTTTTCAAGGATCCGTGTACGAGATGGAGCAATTTTCAGCGGAAAACGCCTTCGAACCGGAAGCGATCGGTTTATCCAAACGCGAACGAATCGAGGACACTGTCGAAAATTAGGCTGAATCTGTTGGCCAGCGCGCTGCCCACGTTTCCCGAAATTTAATTTCGTACGTCTTCTCTGTATTTTCATAACCGATTCTAACAACACGTGGCCGGCCGAACGCGAATGCGTATCGAAAATCGTAAAGTTTGTTTTTTTCGACAATATTGCTCCAAGGTATACACTGCGTGGCAATATGCGTGGCGAAAATGGATGGAAGGCTAACGGAATAAAGCTCGTGAAATTACGAATTTTTCTATTTTTTCCAAACCTTTTTTTCACTTCCTTCAAGAAATTTTTCTTAGAACACGATTTGCGATTTCAAAGAAACGTGTAAACTAGAAAATGTTGATATCTTTGAAGAGAATTAAATGGAAAAATCCAAAAGATTCCTAAAATTTATAATTTTAAAGTGTGTGTGTGTGTGTGTGTGTATAATTTTTTCCAATTTCAAGGAATATAGAAGAATATCCTTAAAATGCGTATTTTAACGATGAAAATATTTCCATCTCGTGAAATATCTTTGAAAAAAGAGACGAAACGAACAATACGAATTTCAAATGGTTGCATTATCACAAACAGCATTATCGAATCGAATCACCAGGATTTATTTTTTTTAATTTAATTTACAAACACCAACCATTATTCTATTATTTATTTTGTATTATTTTTATCTGTGTGTGTGTATTTATTTTTTTTTTTTTTATTGTATATCTCATCTCATGTTTTTTTTATCATCTCATTTTTTACAGCATGGCCGCTCAGACTCGTACAGGGTCGCAACGTTACCAAAAATTCGCGACGACAACAAAACGGCCGACGGGATGTACAAGGTATTCACAGCGGTACTTCCGGTCCGCTGTGGCTCTCTCCATTTCTTATTTCTCGCAATTCTCTTCTCTCTTCTCGGGGCTTGCTTCATCGACGACATATTTTCTCCGTCCTCGAATCTCTTCTGCAATCATTCTCTTTCCACCCGCGGAGAATCAACCTTTCTCTCTCTCTCTCTCTCTCTCTCTCTCTCTCTACTCTCTCTCTCTCTCTCTACTACTACTACTAC